ACACTGCCACTGCTGTGATGATAGCGCCGAGAGATTGTTTTTTGCAAATCTGGCGTCTTCTTGCTTGTCTCTAAAATTCCTGTGCTACCCGTTGAACCTGCCGAAGGAAAGACGGCTCACCAGTTGTAAAAACACCGATTTTGCAGAACGACGCGCTGAAGAGTGAAGAAGGGGCCATTTCTAACGCAGCTCCAGACATCTGCATTGTGTATAAACTCCACCTGGAGTGCGGGAGACTCATCAACCTGTACGACTGGCTGGAGGTAGGGAGCAAACTGCACAGGGGCGAGGTCTGGGTGTTGGTGGGCTTTTTAACCAAAAGCTCCAGGAAGATGAGGACACAAAATTGTATTGGGGTGGATTATAGACATTGCATGGTCTTAACCCATGTTATAGTAAATTTGTTCAGAAATGAAGGCGCTTAAGCAAAGATTGTGAAACTGTTTTTTTTTTACCGCTGTCTTTTGTTATCCAGTAATGTCTTACACACGTCATCTTAGGCATTAGGTACCCTTCAGTTCATATAGATTTCAAAGAATGGAGCAGTACCACACAGTATGTATAGTATAAAGTCCGAAATGAACAGATTGTTTATTGTATGTGGCCCACATATTTTCAACAAATCAGGATGTGCATTGATTGTTCTGCGCACAGTTCTTGTGGTATAGCTGGTGAAGGTTTCTGCCGTGTGTGAAAGTGCTGCACTGCAGGACTCACTCGTGTGCATGGGTTTGCTTTGGACAGGCGTACAGAACAGTTGTCGCAGCAGCTGAAGGCAAAGACCGTGATGGCACTGAGGCTGGGACATTTGACGAAGAAAAGCAGTATCCTTTCTCACTTTCGCGAGAGCTTGAAAGTCTTTTTTTGCTGTTAATATTTACTGTATGCTGGGTTTCAGAAGTGGATATTTCAGTTGTTTCAAAAAAACATCTTTTAGAAATACAGAAATGCAGGGACAGTGCTTTGAGACCCAAACGTCCATTCTCCTTGGAACATTTTTTGTATCCCCAAGGTTAAAGAAGTTAATTTAAAACCGTAAAAGCTTCAGAGCTTCAGTTTTTGAGGGCTATCTTGATACGGACCATTGGTTAGAGATTGCCCTTTTCAAAATCCGATTTTATCGGCAAGGCTTTATTGATTTTTTTTCTAAATCATCTTCGCTTGGCATTCATGCTCATGAGTCTGTGTGGAGATGGGTGGCAAGAATTTCGCTGTGAAAGTTTCTCTATATTGTCAGGAGGATTGGGGTTCAATTGCGGGTGTTGGTCGGGGCTGATGTCTTGTTCCAAACCGAGCCCTCCTAAGGAAGCCTGTTCAAACTACAGGAGAACATTTGTTTAAAAAAGATAATATTGCCTTTAAATGAGATAACATTGTGTTTAATTGCAATAATTACTTAGTAAACAATATTGCCAAATATATCAATACTATATGTTGCAACATACTGTATATGCAATGTCCCATTGTCATTAACAACAGGAGAATATTATCACGCTCCTCTTTGTGTAAATTAATTGGTCAAAAGGAGCACGCATAGGGGTCTTGTTACACCCAGTGATTGAGCTTTCTTAGGTTAACCACGTGTCTTTTTCACCATTTCCTAAACAGATACGGCTTTCTAAACCTATTTCATTCTTCATGTTAAGCATGGAAACATGTTGATAGGTTGCCTAATCTTTACACGTTGAACAGAAAAAGCTTTACGATGCCTTCACAGTAAGACCTGTACCTACTGTTGGTTGACTGCTAGTGTTACTGTAGGTGTTGGTCAATCACTGAATATTTAAGCACAAAAACTTTCTTCTTGTGCTTACATCAAATACATTTGAATTTAGAATTACACAGGAAACTTGTCATTTGAAGGGAGAAGAAACAGTATTTCTGTGTCGGTTTGCACAGACATGAATGTAATGACACTTCTGTAAAGAAACAAGTATTGTTTTTTAAACGCAATGTTATCTCATTTGGTTTTTTGCTCACAATCTCTTTTCGTTACATTCTTCGGCTCTGGGATGTTTCTTTAGCAACTACCTTAAATGAAGTGGGTATTTGGAATTATCAACTGTAGAAGAAGTTAAGCAACATTTTGTATACATCTAAGAAAATAATGAGTTCAATGTTTTATTAACGACTCGGGCTGAACAAAAAAGGAAGCAGACGCCAGCCCCCCCACCCCGGAGGCGAGTTTGCCCCCACACCCTCCTCCAGTCTAAATCCTTCTTTTCTGCTGTCTCTGTAACCACACCCTCCCGAGCAGGCCAGGTTTCTAAATTCCACTAATCAACACGTGTTTACACGGAACTTTTCTCTTGCACTGAAATTAAGAGTGCGGGCAGGCCTGAGCTCCTGAGGTGCTTCTCCTTGACGGGTGAGGAAACTCAAGCTGTTTCCGGTCCAGAATAATAAGTGTGCCGAGGAGCTGAGTGCGGGGAGGTGGGAGCCGCCGGCGGTGTAGAGCAGAAGCCTGTGCAGTAGGAGACGGCCACTCTTCCGTTCTCTTCCTCAACGCCTACCCGCAGTGCTCGCTTCATCCGGGCGGTGTCGGAGCTGGAGTTCCTCGGCTTTGTGAAAAACACGAAGCAGAAGACGGACCACGTGGCACGACTGACCTGGGGGGGCTGCTAGGCCGCTGTAGCCCCACGCCCCCCTTCGGTACTGGATGTAATAAACCCAGACGTTTTCTCCCCACACACTCAGAAAAGACTTCGTCACGGGCAGGATGCCGTGCTATTCGGTTTTTTTTTTAAATTAAAATGATGAAAATAATTCCGTTGAAATAACCTGCCTACTTTTCTACTCATATTAAACCAGAAAAAATCGCCTCTGTGGTGTCCTTCGTGTTGTAAAGGTAGAAACTCCGCAAATGATGTAAAATACACAACACGTTAAGAACTAAAAGCGGTTTGGCAAGAATTAAAACCGTGTCTCTGCAGGAGGGATGCAACAAATCCTTTTCCAGGGACAAACTATCCCCCTCTAGAGCATTAATTCGTGCTCTCTTTAGCTGAAAAACAGTATTTACAAGCAGCTGGATCCAAACAAATGCACTACAGTGCAATACCTTTTTCGATATTTTTCTGAGGTGGCTCTCATGAAGTATAGATGTGCTATATGTCGATGAAGGCTGAAAGTGTTGAAATCTAAAAAAGAAAACGTGGAATCCCTTGTTCTGGTCTATCTCGAGGCCTTTGTGTGGAGCATTTGTCCAACTGTATTGCCCAAGTGGTTCTACCTACTTAACATCTCCTTCGCTCAGAAAAGTGTTTTACTTTTGGTTGATCAAAGTGACAGACAGGGCCCTTTCCACCATTAAGGCTTGGCTCAGCTGTGGTTCCACAGACCGTGGGAGTTCCTTCAGGTACAGCGCCACCTGGGCCAGCTCTCTGGAAATGAAGTCCATGCACCAGGCAGTTAGGGTGGGCATGAAAGGAAAACTGCATTGACATCGGATTAGAGTGTGTTCCACTGAAATTCCATCCATTTTCTAAACCGCTGTACAGAGGTGCAGGGGAAGCCAAAACCTACCCTGACAAGCAACAGGTGCAAGGCAGGATCCACCCTGGATGGGATGCCAGTCCATCGCAGGGCAAACATGTACCTGTACCCTCCATAGCCAGAAGGGTGTTTCAGATGGTTCTGTCACTTCAAATATTCTTAAATTGGATTAACTGTTTTGGTACCATCGTTCTTGTTTACTGTCAAAACCTACTGTAATCTATCCTGCTCAGAATGAAAAGTTTCTGTCTGGCACTATGTGATTAATACCGATACTGCTCATGTGCGATTTGATACTTTCACATCCATTGGGCCAGACATCCGCTTACTGTCTCAGTGTGCTTACTATGCTCAGCACTGAGAGAGGGAGAAGGGAATATTATGGTACATATTCTCTGCAGTGGCTGCATTTAACTGCTCTGAGAAATCAATACAAGCCAGTTAATGAAGAATAAAGGGAGAATACTCAGAATGTAATGGACAAAATAACAACTCTCAGCTGTCATATCTGTTGAAAGTTTTGGAGGAGCACATTTCTCCTTCATTAGGTACTGGTTTTGAAATTTGTGTTCATAAATTGACTAAATTGGTTGAAGGTTTGAGTAGAGGCTTCATCGCACTTGAATAACTTGAAACATTTCTCATGATAAATTGTTAGTTTTTGTAATGCCGGGGACCAATTTTTAGTGCACTTTTTAAGTCTGAGTCATTGAAAAATACTGAAACTACAATTCCACCCTATTTAACCACCACTTTATCCACTAAAATCACACATAGCTGTTACTATGAAAATTCTGGCATAAAAGATATAATCATGAACATAGTTTTTAGACTTTGGCATCTACTACCCAGCTTTGGTCTTGGCTACAATACAGCTCAGAAGTGTGGCTACAGAAAAAGTATGTAGTTTAGAAGCATTTTATTCACATCTGCTTGAATAAACTCCATCCCTGGGGCAAAGGGGTGAGCTGACCAGGATAGACTCTGCCCCCCCAACCCCATATTGGATAAATCAGAAGATGGACAGGCGGACACTATGGATGTTAGTGGCAGCAGGTGAGAAGTGTATTTAGAGAAGGTTCCAACTCATTTACATTCATGGACTGACATTTAAATCCTAACATTTCTGTGTAATGAAAAAACAAGATTGTAAATTTAAAAATGGCAAACATTTAAAACCCCAACACTAACATAAAACAGTCTTGCAATTTTTTTTTTTTGCAATGGCTATTCAGTTCCCTTTTCATGATAGCAGAGTGAGACACGAGTAGGAGGGTCAAGTTCCCCCTAACTGTGCTCCTCATGTCACTGGTGAAAGTGATAGCGAGCAGAGGGCATAATTAGTTCTAATTTATTTAAATTTGAAATGAACATCTGGATTTAAAAAAAAAATCAATTTTCACTACACTTATCCAGGCAAAGGTCACAGAACATAGAACATGAAACACGTAACAGATCCATCAGCTGGATTTCTGTGTGGTGAACAAGGAGACCACATTTCAAGGTTGTGAATGTGACAGGGCTTAAAGTCCAGAGTTGCAGTTCTGTTGGAGGACTCTATCTCAGAGCCTGCGTCAGATACACAATTGTTCTACCATGCAGGTCTATGAAATCCATACGACACAGCTGTGCTGGGTTAAAGGCCACCACTTTGGGCAAATTGGTAATTGTCGCCTATATACCCAACATAGGTTACATGCCGTTACTGTAAGAGTACTTTTTATTCTGACTCCCCCTAGAAGTTTGGAATTATGAAGTGCTCAAGAGCACAAATTACATTAACATAAGCAGCATAAAAGCACACTTAGCACTGGCTGTGTGCTTAAGCTTGAAAATGACTGTGCTGCTGCCGATTCCTAAGCAAAAGCAAAATCCACTTTAGTCTTTGCACTGGTCACTCCTGTAACCCTCAGGAGAAGAAAATCAGTTAAGTCATATCAGGTCTTAGAAACATGCTTTTGGAATTGACAGGAAAGAAGGCTGTATATTTAGAACACAATCAAATGTAAACATTTTATTTTTATCCAACTTAAGTCCATTATGCTACATGGGCAGTAAAACAATGATACAATGAAAAATGCAGAAAAAACATTTACTAAAATAAATAAAAAACGTATCTTAAGAAGGAAAATATATAAATCACTGAACCAACGGTGAACCCAATTAATGTCCCCCAGCATGCAGTAATGCCCACCCTTGGCTCCTGGAATCCAGAAAGAGGGGAACAACAACCAGGGCATCTGCAAACATGCGAACATCAGGCTTCTGACCATCCCACCCCTTCCCAGCCTAAATATCTGCTAAACTTACATGGCATACTACATTGCTTTATGATACACACACCCAAAAAAAATCAATGAAGGGCAGATTCTGGAATGCCAGATATGTTTATAAAAGGAATCAGAAAAAAAGCCTAATCAATATTAATACAGCAAATGAAACATAAGGAGGCCACTGGTAAGAGTAGTAGGTAGCAGAGGTCCATATACACATTAACATCAGGGAGCACTCCAAATACCGGTTGCTGAAGAAGTGGTTACCACTGACAAAAGCTTGAAACAGCCTGTGCCCAAAGGGGAAATATGGCACTGCTACAAGTCTTCACTAAAAATACCCAGCCCGCAGCAATTGAAAGGGAACTGGCAGTCCAGTATAAGCAGTTATTCAGGAAACATCTGCAAGGCAAAGAAAAAGAGGAATGAAGTGAGATGCCACTGACCATACACTTTAAAAATCAAAATCTATAAATATAGGAACGTTTAGCTTAAACCACAAGTCATCAAGGTTCAACATGTTAATCTCTGAAATGAGGTAGAAATCTTATTTCATAGTTAATCTTTAACCCTTCAGTGCCATTTAAAAAAACTGATATTTGACTGTACATAGTGTAACTTCATTTTAAATTCCAATCATTACATACTATCAGAATAATCTAACTTTTGCAACATGAAAAATTGATTCATATAAATCATCACTTCCCTTAACAGGGCTATTCTAAAAATCATTACCTACAGTTTCAGGAGTGTCATCTGGACTCCTCCATCTTTACCCACTAAACTATCATGTTTTCCGTCATGTAAGGGTTTTCTGGTGCACAATAAAAACACACGAGTTGCAGAGAAGAGGAAAAACTACCTTATTAGTTTTTCACATATCTTAGCCATAATCTTAATTACTTAAAAGTTACGAACTTCTAATATAATGAGCTATGAACATGATCCTTAAAGCACTACATTCCACAGAAAATTATTCATTTTAAAAATATTAACTTATTCTTGATAATCATTTTCAGTTGTTAAATATCCAAATCTCTGTACATCCTGTGTATTTACTCAACAATAATTGAATTGTAAGTAAAGGATGTGTTCTTCGGATGTTTCCTCTTTATAGTTTTAATGGTGGACACAAAATACTTACAACTAGCAGGTTGCTCTCCAAATCGTCGCATTAACTGGTCATGTGTGAACTTCACAAAAGCGTCATATTGTTCTGCGGACAACAATGCATGTAAAATTAATCTTGGGACAAAACGCCAATATTAAACTAAACAGCACAAAATTCGAATAAAATTGGCCTTGACTCCATACTTCAGCCAGGACAAGACTTACAAAGTCAAAAAGACCACATACCTGCAAGTTTTGAAGTTAATATTTCCTCATATTCTTCTCGAATTTTATCTTCACGTTCTTTTAATAGACGTTCACAGATCATTCCAACTTGTCTTAAGGTAAATAAAGGCTGTTCTTTTCTTGATGGAGAAGAGGCTCCAGAGGACGTACCTTTAAAAACACAAACCTGCTTAGACTCCCCTGGGATGAATCCCTCTACCCATCTTGGTTGGATGGATGTATTTTTACATTGAAATACAAAATCAGAATGAAGTTATTAAAAGCAGCGAGTCATCTTATAATACTAGTAAATTAACTGGAGAATTAAAGCATTACTCTTCATTACACATCAAGAGAATTTGCACAAGGTTGTCACAGTCGCATTATGCATGACTGAACACTGAAATGATCTGAACTGATTTAGTTATCTCTTCAGAACTAACATCATTGAACCCTAATAAATTACCTTAAACACATTACTAGAGACACCTGTTATGTCCATGAAACATTCAAGACCACAGATAATGATTAAAAACAGGAGTTACAAAGCTATGCAGCATTTTAATCTATGGCTTTACTGATGTGACTATCACAGTTTAAGACAAATTGAAAATACACACACTGACATCAAATCACACCACTGAACTATATACTGTGACAGCATATGGTACACACTTGACTCTCAATATACAGGACAATACTGCGATTTTACACAGAGCAGTAGCTCTGCATGAAAACTGAAAGCATGTTCCTGTCTCAGCAATTATAAGCGAAACCTGTCACGGGTCAGGATTCAAGTAATTGTTTCATCGCCTCACTGAAAGACAAATGACCTAGTGAAAGCAGCTGCTTGCAAAAATAGTTTTTTGTCTCAACATCTTTCTTTTGAAATAATGATGAAGGGAGAATAATCTATGCCTCAAAAAGCCCATTTTAAATTATATTGTAACTGGTACTCCCACAGGTTCAAAATCACATTATTAAACCCCAGGAAGGTTAAGACCGACCTCACCCTCTAAAAGGGTGTAGAGGACAGGGAGCTTAGAAATATGACGTCTACCAATTCCATTAAGACATAATCTGTACTTGGACCGGTCTGACTTAGTAAATTCTAATATTACAGGATGCACCACCAAAACTTCTGAAACAGAAATGGAAGGTGGCAGAACTAAACTTGGTTTTACCCAATGACAGCACCAAGAAGTAAGAAAACGATGCAACCATCCTTACGAGCCACACAGTTTGAAAACGACAGCACCATAAAGCATAAGCCAGTAGATGCAGGTTTTAACACCGTGGTCCATCTATCTCATTAGCTGTGCTCTGGGAAACAACCAAGACTTTGAAATGGGAAGACAAGATAAGCCATGAAACTACAAAAAGTCTTGGCATTTATAAGGCACACCCGAAGAAGGCTCCACAGCCAAAACGTTTTCTTTCTTCTCTTTTCGGCATGGAATAAACCTATTACTTGTTCATTTTATAAGGCACTTTTCATCTCTAAGGACCACAAAGCTCTTTACTATAACTTGTGATTTTTAAAAATCAACTTGCTCAGTCTGAATTTTGAACTGAACATCTGTGTTAAAAATAAATTAATAAGTGGGCAACTTCACACGTACCTGGCAAAGTGGGTCCACTGAGAATGGCCGCATGGGGCTGTGTGTCGGGCGGACAGCAAGCATCTGTCTGCTGAAAACTACTCTCTAGGTGTCTCCTCTTCTGCATGCGCTTGTACTCCTGCTTTATGTTGTACAGGATTTGTTCTGAAAGAGAAGACCAGGTTTCCTATAAATCAGCCTCCCAATGGACAATATCCCCCCAAAAACCACGGAATGCAACAATTCTGATGATGAAGCCAATTCATAGGCGGGGATTATTAGGAAGCCATGATTCATCTTGTTCATGGCTCAATCATGGCCTCCAAATAATCCCTATATATGAATTGGCTTCATTATTCTGCTCTCCTCCCCACTGATAGCTGGTGTGTTGTGAGTGTACTGGTGCACTATGGCTGCCGTCGCATCATCCAGGTGGGGCAACACACTGGTGGTGGTGGAGGAGAGTCTCCATTACCTGTAAAGCACTTTGAGTGGTGTGCCCAGAAAAGTGCTATATAAGTATAAGCAATTATTATTATTACTCTTTGAGAAATGCCCTGGGATTTTAATGACCACAGAGAGTCAAGACCTCAGTTTTACATCTCATCCGAAGGACGGCACCTTTTTACAGTATAATGTCCCCATCACTATACTGGGGTATTAGGACGCACACAGACTGCTGGTTGAGCGCCCCCTAGTGGCCCCACTCACATCACTTCCAGCAGCAGCCTTAGCTCTCTTCCCTGGAGGTCTCCCATCCAGGTACTGACCAGGCTCACACCTGCTGAGCTTCCCTGGGTTGACAGTGGTGAGCTGCAGGGGGATATAGCTGCTGGATGTTTAGCCAACACATTCAGGTTCAAGTTCTTTCTGAAATAAACATCTACAAAATAGCCTTTTACTGAAGCATTTCCCTCAGTACAGAAATCCTTTGAAGATCTAAGGGAGCATCACAACCCAGGGGCTTCTGCCACACAGGATAACAGTGAATCTTTCAGAGATGAACACGAATCTGAAGCTGTAATGATCAAAACACAGGGATGTCAGGTAACATCTCTGAGAATGTTTTTCTGGTTAGTGTGCAAGCAGAACTGTCAGGTCTGTCTTTGGATAAGCTGTAACAGCTCACTCACAGCCTCCACTGAACAAGAGAAAGTAGCACATCTCTCATGCTCAAGCCCTCCCCACACACCCTCGTCCCAGGAAGCATATATAAAAGCACAAAAACCACCAGCGTCAACCGCTTGTGGTAAATGGCCCTGCTCGATGGCAGCCAGGGTACATTAGCACCCCCTCTGCTTCCTCTCCTTAAACACTGCATGGGATTTAAAGACTTCAGCTAAGTAGACATCTGAAGCTCTGCTAGGACCCTCAGGGTCACTTACCAGGGGCTGTAGGTTCAGGACTGAAGGAGCGTGAAACAAACCACCCAGCCTTGTGGCTGAAGCTGCCACTTCAGCTTCTGTCAAGGAACAGCTGGATGAGACCCTTGGATCAATTGACTGCTAACTACCAAACCGGTTAAATGGGCAGAATGGCCTCTAGTTTGTAAGCAATATGGTCTTCTGCACCAAGCCACTGCCGAGCCATTCAGAAGCCTTACATGTGGGAAACTGGGTTTGCATTCAATCTGTGACACCTAGCTAGAAGACTCCCCTCAACAGAGTTTTTAAGCCATACTCGAAACCATAAACATTAAAAAATGAAACTTCACTGAACATACTACCCAAACTATTCCAATCTTACTGGGCACACTTTGTACTTTACTACGCCAACACACAGAGATTTTCAAATTTGGAAGTCTGAAAAGATCGGAGCTGAATGCAGACCTGACACAGATGCAACACCACCAAGAAACCAACAGCAGTTTTCAGCTGTAAAAGGAATCGTGAGCTCACAGCGACATCACGAAAAACTCTGCAACACCTTGTATCACAAAAAAAGAAAAGTCTTTATCACGAGAAAAGTGGGGCTGCGCACATTTCGTCACGTCACAAACCCAAGCAAGTCTAGAGGAGTCCACCATGTGACACCCAGCACCCGAGAACCGTGGGTCAGATATTGGTGCAAAACGACCAGTCAACCAGTAATAACACCTGAAATACTTCTCCCACTATCAAACCGCACAATGACCTGAGAGAGGCCAATTTGGGAAATGATCGGGCGCCTATCTATGCCCAGGCCATCTGAAATACCGAACCCAGTCACTGCAACGAGGCGCAACCCCCGGGATACTTGTTTCAAACAAACTTCAAGGTGTTTTTTTTTTCACCCAACATCCAATTCGGCTTCTTAAAACCCCACCCCAATAAACAAAAAAATAATCAAAGCCTCCATCTTGAGCTAAAACGCCAATGAGCACCATTTTAACGCAGGCGAATAGCAGGCGAATAGCCGAGGCATTTGCCAAACAAATGGCTGTAATTACACCTCATTAAGCGCCGCCGATCCTCACATATAACGTTGCCAAGAACGGGGAAAATCGATCTGGCTTTGAAGAACCCGGGTTCCCAATCCCCCCGAGCACTGTCGGGCGAGAGAAGGGGGAAGATTCACATCCAGCGGCGGATCAGCAATTGTGCCGGAAACACAAACGTGAAGAAGCAGGAAGGTTTAGCTCGCCCTGCGTGGAGCGGACCGAAAAATAAGCGTACTTCTCTAACAGAGCTGATCGGTCTCTCCCCCCCAACCCCCATCTCCTTATCCGCAAGCCCTAGTGCAGCCATGTTTCACGACTACCCGTGTGTGGCGAGGCCATGTTTGTGCCTCCTACAAACACTGGCGTTTGAACACAACGAGCGACGCGTTTCGAGTGAACCCCGGACATAACGGTTCACATCTCAAAAAAAAAAAGAAAGTCGAACGGCAGAGCAGGGACACGAGAGAGAAACGAACAAACAAACCAAAAAAAGAGAGAGAGAGAGAGACACGTCCTCTTCAACCGCCCGAGTTTCACACGAGTACAAAAAAAAAACAACAAAAGCTGGACCCGCGGAGTCCAGCCCGGCTGAATTCACGCTCATTTTTTTCCAGAAAGTCATCAAGGCACAGGCCCCCGACACCGACACCCACCCCCACCTGTGCCCCGGCCTGGCGGAGCAGCGGCTCCGGGGGGCCGCGCCGCTCGAGCGGCGGCAGGAAGCGGCCGCGAGGGGCCCCTGCCGCTCGCGCGCTGGGGACAAGGGCGCACGTACCCGTCGTCAGCCGCGAGGACACCTCGCCGAAGGGCGACGGCTCCAGGCGCAGGTACTTCTGGGGGGACGCGGTGGACGCCGACGGCGACATGGGGGCGCATCTCCTCCTCTTGGGGGACGCCTGGCTCATCAGGGGGTCGAAATCCATAGTCCTTTTCAAAGTCGCCCCACAAGCCATGACTGCGATCCGGCTGCTGCCACCACCACCAGCACCAACAAGAAGAACGCCGCTAGGACTGAAATAATTCAAAGGAAATAGAAAAAACGAGACGCGGGCGAAGTCCCGTCTCGTAGCTGGAAATAAACAGGGCTAAAAAAAAAAAGTGCCAACCCCTCCGGTGACTCTTCTAACTTCTCTCAGGGGAGACGAGTCCTGCGGAGACAGCCTCGTATTTTTTGCCTTCTCGGTGGTCCCCCGTCTCCACTACCCAGCTCCTGTCGTTCGCGGAGCTGCTGCGAGGCTTTTCCGCGTTTCTCCTCCCAGTTTAAAACGCAACAAAAACCCAGATGAAGACGGATTCCAGCCTGAACTGCAAATCACCCGCAGCAGCACTCCCTATTTCCTTTCAAACAAGCAACATGGCGTCGCCGACAACGTCAGACTTCAACAATGCCTCCACGCGCATGCGTGTGAGCCGCTGGAAACCGTGGGGTTTGTAGTTTTTTGTTGCTCTAATTGAGCGGGATGGATGACGGCCGTGGACTACATCTCCCATGACACCATGGAACAATGCTTTTCCGGGATCCAATTTAAATGCCCTCATTGGTAAGTTTGAGTGGATAGAAGGTTTTGAATAAAGCCAATAAGGTTGATTTGTTTTTACCAATACAATTGTTATGTTACTGTCAGACGAAATGACGCATTTCTGCACGTAAATTTAGCTAGCTCAAACTACCCAAAACAAATTCCCCAGTATTCAATATTAGGATACTGTATTTAAACTGTAACCTTATTAAATTCGAGTGTTAAGCATCATTTCAATTGGCAGTTTTGTTTAGTCAACCGTTTTGTTACAAATACAGTATCAGACAACCTGGCGACACAACCACAAAATTAATTTTGGGAATATTCTAGAGATAATTACCGTGACAGAAGGCGCTTGGTCATGTTATTGTTAAGGTATTTAAATTTGGAAAATAGCAAATAAAACCCATGACAGTAAGCCACAAAATAGGTCTTAAATAATGTTTAAAAAAAAGTATAAGAGTTTATAATAAAAATAAAATCTTTGAATTTTTATGCAAAAATAGTTATTACAATTAAAAAAAATAACGTTGAAAATAAAAAGCCCAACTTAATCCCAGTTTATTTCAGTATGTAAACGTAACCCCTATCCAGTTGTACACATTCTGTACAAGAGTATTGTCCTGTGGTGTAATTAGAAAATGATGTCTCCAGATTTATTCAAACTCATTTTGCTGTTGCCCAGAAGACTTCTAATTGTCGGATGAATCACAGTTATTGTCAGCAAGAAATAAAAGGGAAAAATTAGCATGTTGATTGTAGGTTTTTTATATTACTTTGCGTCAGAACCTTTGGTTTATCACCTTGAAAGAAATCCTAATGCCAGTCACTGACATCACAACTATGCCTCATACCAAACTCGCACCAAACTTTAAAGCTGTGCCTAATCTGACACTTGAACTGCATTAACAAACCAGTATAACCCTAAAGCCAGTTTAAGTCTAAATAACTCTAATCCTACACTAACTCTAACCATAACTCTACCCATAGCTTAAGTGCTCCCTGAAACCTGAATTGCAGTCTAAAAGTGTACTAAATGAGTGAAAATACTACCAGGACCATACTTGAATGCTAGCATCCATCTTAGCTTTGTCTTCTGTGCTACAAACTATTGGCTTTAGGTCCAATCACCCTTGATCACAGCTGTAAGCTTAATGCAAAGCTTAATCTTTTTTATGTTGTAGGAACAGTATTATGCAGGGTTTTCTGAATGTGGCCTAACTAAAGCATATTGTCACGTTTTCACCAGCATCTCACTTGATATTTATTTCTCACTCTTTGGCCAAGTTTACATGACTGTTAAGTTCCTTTAGACACATAATGCTAACACTGCATTTGTGGAAAACATATTTTGAATACTAGTCTTTGATATGTATCCTCATGTCTCTTATTGTGGCTTCTGTGTATTCTGTGTATCTGGACGCTTGCAAAAATAGTTCTGCTACAACACTAGCTGGTCGTTGCCAGTTAGTGTCTGGTGTAATGCAACCATGTCCAGGGGAAAAAGACCATTTGGATTTGCCCTGTTGTTCAAGCGACACTAATATTCGTCGTCACATATACTGTGTATGAGAAAGAGGGGCTCAGATGCAATCTCTCTCATCAATAAAACACCTCCTGAATCGAATCCCTTTTCCTCCTGGGTATTTGCTGGTAATGCAACAGAATCAGTTGTCTAATTTAATTTACTTTACTTGGGGGGGAAAAGGACCCTATTTCTCTTACCCCTGCAGTTTTTTTTATCAAGATAAGACACAGCTTTCCCCCAATCAGAACATAGAAGAAAAAAAGTCTAAATTATAAATGTGCTGAGATTGCCATATAATCCCTAGTTTTTTTAAAAAATATTCTCCTGAAATTTCCTGTTTTACTAACAGATCTTTAGAAATCAGTCGCATTAAAGCCAATCACGTCGTGCTGTACAGATCTGACGCTCATTTGCGTGATGTATGTGTTTGGGGAGGCGTAAAAAATGATCTGCAGAGCATGCTGGTATACAGGTCTTTCTGGAGTCACCAGAAAGGTTACAATGGATTCAAGACCAGTTACTCAAAGCGTTTGGAGTCAACTTTTAATAAAAACAAGTGGCAGTGACTTCATGAAGAAAAATGTTCTCTCCTGATCTGCTGCACTTGGTAGACTTCATGATAAATGACATACGTTATCACTTGTCTCCTAGAAATAAATGGGACATTTCGCGATTATGGTGGTAGAAATCTTGTGTGTTTGTGTGTGTGATCTTTCCACCAGTTGGGTCCAGATTAAATCAAAATTAATTCCATTTCAAAATGAACTCGTTTGACAACCAGAGATTACAAACCCTGCAGGCTTCAACCTCTAACACAAACACGCAACCTGTACCGGTTCTCGGGTTTGAAATTCACAAAGCGGTTTGAAATTATTCCTATCTCACACATTCAGAAAATGCTAACCCTTTAATGCATTTTTCATTCCCGACTCCCTAGAATATTGCTGTCTGACCCAAATGCATTTTCATAACATCCCTTAAGGATTGAAAACGTTTTCAATCAGTCCTAAATTTGAAAGTAACTAAGATCTTTTTTATTATTAAATAAAGTGTGATAGATAAGCAAAGGCATGCACACTAAAGTATTAATGCTTTGTTTGGGGGGATATAGCAGTTATTTTTAACTTATTCAATCTTATTTTAAAATAAAAGAACAAATCCACATTCAATCCGGTTTTAACGGAGTCGTGAGCGTTGCTTTATGTCCACCAGAGGGCGACATAACTACAGCTAAAACGGGAGTTCCTGCGAGGTGGTATATACTGTAGGAGCTCCAGCAATAATACTGTACCAGACTCGAGCGTCATTCCAGACACCTCTGATCACATGCAGGGAGGAGGCCAAACAGAGCTGGTTGCCACAGAATTGGAGCAAAAATGGCGTTTAACAGAAACGCGACATCTATACACTGAGTAGTTCAGGTGGGCGGCTGCGTCTGCGTCAGTTATAGGTTTGTTCCACGCTGAACATTTCGGGTGTGGAGCCTTCTTTAGGTATACACCAAATCTATACATTTAGTATGTTTTGTTGAGATAGTTGTAATGCTGAAAGGTAAAGAAAAGAAAAACACAACGTTTGGGCTGTGAAGTCATTGTAATTACTATTGTAACCTTTTCTTTCTAAGAATTTCTTTTAGGAGATTCAGAGGACGGTACTGTCTCAAGGAGTACTTTTTAAGAAAAGTTACAAAGAGGAGGAGGCCATTCAGCCTGTATAACTACTTATCTCTTTAGAACTATCCCACAGACGGCTACTGACAGCAGAAACATGTATTTTACATAAAGCATTCTTGCGCGTTTTTCATTGTTTCTCATCTAAAATCTCCTCAGATATGGAGGAGGCTGATGGCTCTCGGATATTGCCCTTGATCCGTCACTCGGTATTCCCACCTCTCGCTAACTCTTCCTCTGCTGAGGAGAAGTGCTCCACACAACGGGCAACAGGGCCTTCTCCTGTGTGGGCCTCACTGCCCAAGCCCATGAGAGACTCTACTCCTGTCGACATTTTTAAACATCTTCACTGAAGCTCTTGATGTTCGATTCGGTTTTATTCTTGGCTTTACTAAATCATTTTGTTGTGCTACGTCTACTCATCTCAGTCCTGTAACCCCAATGGTAGGGCGGTGCTGTATACAGTATGTATTTATCATGCCCTAGGCGACTTAAACATAAAAATGTAAGACAACACCATAATATTCTGAATAAAGTATTTGAATGCTGAATGAATTAATAGATACATATTCTAAATAATTCTATAAAATTCTTATTAAACACAGTGTTATTTGATTTTAGAATCGATTCAAAATAACCACCCCCAGGTATTATTACAAGCACCATTCTTGTAAAATAGCCATTAAGTAATTAGGTACCTCGTCATCTTTTCACTTAAATACTCAATGTTCAGAACAGGCAGTAGAAATTCAAATGTTAAGTTCAACGCCACAGTAGAGAAACAACATGCTTTCTGAATTTTCCCAATCACTGTTCTTGTTATAAATGTACAGAGCTAAATAATTCAATTCTCACTCTAAGTGAATCTCATCAGTTTCATCACCTCACAGTCACAAATGCTCCAATATGTGGAACTCCAGCAGTCCAAGATCACCCGATCTCATCGACAGGACATGACAGCAAGACTGTCAAATCTCTGCTGGTTTCTGGTGGCTGTCAGTGTCTTGTTAATTGGTCCCATGAGTCAGAAGAATGTTTCTCCAGAGCAGTTCATACCCTGCATTGACAGGTGAACGTCGTGCTGGGCCGTGGTGACATTTGGAAATGCTGAAATCCCATGAGAATTTGAGATGAGCTTCTACCCTTTTCCTTCCAGAAGTGAAACATCCCTGATGGGAAGTGTTGGCCCAGAACTACAGAACAGGTGCACCTGAGCACTTGAGCGTAGCAGCACATGAGCTGTGCACTTACAGAGTTTAGTTGCTTGCACTTCTTGAAGTGGTTACACGCACAAGGCACAGGTCCCAATTTTTCCCGCTGAGCCTCATTCACTCGCTTGCTTTTTTATGGCTGTGTTTTGCTATGAATCTCCTCTCCTCCTCCATGTGCCGTCGCATCATCCAGGTGGGGCTGCACACTAGTGGTAGTGGACGGGAGTCCCCATTACCTGTAAAGCGCTTTAAATGGAGTGCCCAGAAAAGCACTACAGTATATAAGTGTAAGGAATTATTGTTATTGTTATTGTTTTTATCATCATCAACAGCATCAGTCCTTAGCTACTATGAGCATCAGGTAATTCATATTCAGCATCAGGCATTATTACTAGACAGCAGAGGTTCTAAATGTATCATC